ATTTCATGGCTTTGGAAATATGTGCACACATCAACGAATGGAACAAACCAAACAAAAGGATGAGAATACAAGAATATCATTTTACTGAAAATTCGAAATTTTACCCCCCCCCCCTTCTTCCGCCCGTTAGTAGCCTACAGTTAATCCTTCATGATCTCAAACCGCAACAAATTATCAAGTATTTTCTTAGCTCTTACATACACCAATGTATACTTCGCCCCATCTTCAATATATTCTAACATCTCAAGTTTTGACCATTTTTTTTTACATTTTGACACCAGACGTTCAATTGGACTTAATCACTGTTAATCACTTAATCATTCATGTACTGAGATAATTCTTGGCGCGCTATGGCACGCCCTTTAGACAAATTTCGTGGTCTCAGTTTTCAATTGCAAACGGCAGTGCCCCGACTGCTGTTTTTCTTTTCCGTACGAAATTTAAAGGAATATAATGTCCTGCAACAAATAAATTTGTTTTGAAAGTGGCGGCTCCAGTTCAAAAATTGCGCACACTAGGATTCAGAACGAATAAATTAGGAGCGTCCCGCTCTTATTTCAAAAGTTGAAATTAATTAATTGATTACTTGTCGTGCGCTTTTTTGTGCGATGTCTCATTGGAAAGCTCATAATTAATGTAATGCTAAAAAATTATCAATTCAATTTGAAAAACTTTTTTTCAAGGTGCCACACCCAAAAAGCAGGTATAGGCCTACACCAACTTTATTATTATTCTTGTAGGGTATTGATATTATTTATAGTCCTATTTAAGTTCAGTTACCTCCGGTGACGAAATCCCTCATCAACCGCGGTTCAATGACCCCCATTATTACTTTTAGCGCGCTACTTCATCAATTGCCATGGCAACCAGCCTGATTCTTACTCATTATTACCAAAAGTCCAGCTGCTTGGCGCCGTGCGTTTTGCTGGCCTAGGCATTACATTGAGAATGCATACATTATGATACAATATACAGGGTGGTCCAAAACCAAGTTCACACTTTTCAGAAGCAGATTTCTCAAAAAAACACCAGTTTGTCCACATGCAAGTCGATGAGGCAAGCGTGTGGACAAACTGGTTATTGACCATTTTCTGTAAATGGCCGCCATTTCTTAATTTAGGCTTTATTCTCAACGACATTTTCACCATATACCACCAAGATCTTGTAGAGTAGAAATATCTTTAAAAAATTTCAACATGTCTCCTCAATTTTGAGAAATCTGCGTCTGAAAAAGTGTAAACTTTTTTTGGACCTACCTATAGAGAGGGATTCAAACGCCGAGTGCGGCATTCTAAGAGAAAACTGAAAAAAAATACTATTAATCTGCCACCACTTGGAATTGGCAAGAATTATGGGGAGAGAGGGGGCTTTGCAAGTTTCTGAAACGAAATTTAAGCCGAAGCTTTTGTATTGTGTTTTGTCGTCCACTTACTGCAAAACCAAATAAGTGTTGAAATTATATGTTCCATTATAATTATATTCCATCAAAGGTCATGAAAAATGGCGTAGCAAACGTATTAGAAATACTCATGTTGTACATGATAGAAATACTCATGTTGTACATGAAATTTAGGTTTGATGGTTATATCTGTCTATCGCAAAAGGTCGGCTCGACACGGACGATTTAACATCTCCAGTCCCTCAGCGTTAATCGTGCATACTCAAATCGCAGCATTATATACACATGAAACACAAATACTACATATACTGGTGTAGAATGAAATCATGAATGTATGAAGCCAAAGTAGATTAAATATTTGTTTGTGGTCTCTATGAAAGTTACTTTTAGATTACTGATTCCCTCTTTTATAGCCTGAACCAAGATTGCGTTACACTTGTGAATGTGTCTATTTAACTAAATGGTAACCTTTGTAACACCCACTAGCACATGTACTACATTGTATAACATTGTGCTTATTCACTGTAGAATCAATAAAACCATAGAGTGCTCGGGCGGTGTCGGGCAGTACAGTGGCTTAAAAAAAAATAGTTTGTATTGAAACGCATTTCTGAAATAAATATGAACTTGTAAAGTGCAAAAGTAATTTAAAGACACCCTACCCGTTTTGACAAGGTTTCTCAAACTTTCACCTTGGCTTGCCACTGGATGTGGTGTATAATATTAATGTATTCATAAAAATAACAGCTCCGTGATAAAGAATAATCACTTCCCGCCAGAAGGTTACCATTAGTACTGGCGTCAAGGATATGTACATTCAAGGACTGTATAATGACCGGAAATAGTCGTCTGTAGAGTAGACCGGCCAATCCGGTCACGCTACCAATTATATCACGGAGGCCCCCTTCAATGGCGTAAGCATTGTGATAGCTACTGTTCAGATAATCCGCCACGGGCCAGTTGCTTTGTAGTAGCGTGCGCAATGGTTTCTCCATTGAAGGGGGCCGGCCCCGTGAGAGTCCATGATCGAGAGTCCCTTTTCCGGCACTAGCACTCCGACAAAGGGTTTAATAATTCGGCCATTGAACTTCTACTTCATAATTCACGACAGACAGATCCCACGTGCAATTTCAACGTGTTCATAATATAATCGGCCGGGTAGGCCGAGTCGTTAATTATCGAGAGAGTGCACCGGCATAAAAATAATACTTCCCGGAAATTTCCTGCTGTTCTTTTGCTAAGAGAACTATATACAGGAAGAGGAAGTGTCATACTATTTTGTTGACAGTTTTTTCTTGCAGTTGTTTAGTTAAACTTTTAGTGTTTTCTGCATTGTATTGCTGCCGAACTCTAGCTCCGTAGGAAACAATTAATGACAACGGCGGAGTGCTGAATTCGTTTTTGTTTCGCAGATCCAGGTTATATTTCATGGTGGTATTTCAGATTATTCCCATGCATATAAACGGAAGTTCACGGCTAAAGATAAGCACCTCGAATACAGTGATTCACCATTATGCATCACAGCTCCGATGCATATACATGTACACACTGCACTCTCAATGAGGTCAACCATAAAATTGACTTTTATGAAAAATAAAATAAACAAAACTAGCTCACCTTTACGTCTTTCAACTGGGTTGAAATTCACAAGCTCCTGATGACAATTCTGGGATAGGCAAATTTGGTAGCCTACACGCCCCTGTCTGATAAGCCCACACACAGATACAGGAAACTCACCGCAGCAGGCAATTGATAAAAAAAATCCCTGCACCACTGAGTCAGCTTACAAAAGAAAGAAATAAAATCGCGTAGGGTAAACATGTACAGATCGACATGAATACACGGTTCAGACTGACTGGCTCTAAAGTTCACGATCGCACGACATGATGTACAGTTTCTTCTGGCGCTTGTCACGGACGCAAACTCACGCTGTATCATCACCATGAGTGATAAATCACGAGGATATACGAGAGTTGGCTGTCACATTGATCACGCGCGCAAGCCGTTCACTGTCGATATCCGTACTATCCACTTCGCACTAGACGGCGCCTTTCAATTCGGTTCGATCGTTATACACGCATGAATTTATGAACGGTGTTATTATGAACGGTATGACGGTAGACTTGCTACTAGTCTTCCCAAATAGAATATCTTGTTTGTAATGAAGCTTTTGTCATGGAGCTATCAACCAAAGGCTAAAACTTTAAATGGACATTAGTAAATTCTTGGGGAAGGCTGATGAAAAGTTTAAAATGGAGACTTTAAGTCGCGCAATCTAAACTATTTTAAAACAAATCTTCTGGAGAAATACAATGTTTCAATCATAATGGTGAATGCTGCCTCATTAACATAAACTGAGCAACCAATCACAGTGTGCCTTTTGCTCAGAAGTAATAATCAAACAACACAGTTGGTTAGACAACTAAATTATTCCACATGAATATTCAAATATTTTTTACAAATTTGGCAAACCAAAAAAGACTGCAATTTTAGAAACTAGACTTCATAATCAACTGGCCACGATTGACCTTAACGCTCTGGACTGCACAGTGTCATGACAATACACAGATCCATCATGTATACAATTTGCCGTTTAGACATCAATGTACTATTTATATAAAAACCAAGCTAAACTGAAACCGAGAAATGAGCAAATTCAGAAAGTCAAATACAAGAAACAGGAAGTACATCGAAGGTTAGATCAGTTTTATTCAATTAAGGTGTCAAAGCAGCCCTATAATACACAGGATCATGGCCACCCAAACAAAAATCAAACAATTAAACCAATTTTTTAATTGATATTTGATCTTTACCCACATTGGTCTGCCACCCCCCTCCCTCTTTTGTGTTTCTCCTTCCAACCCTGCATGCTTGTGTTTCCCCTACATGTTTGTTTCTTATTCCTCTGTCATGTACCTATGAAGAAGGCCTTGCTAAGGCTGAAATAGGCCACTTTAATTTTTGATTTGTATATTTCAGATCGACCCAGTCAGCTAGTAGTTTGCAGCAGTTTCATTCATTTGATATTTTTGTCTTCTGAAACTTTACAATATTTGTATTGCTCCCATTGATAATTGATTTAATCAAAACCATCTATACTGTGGTATCAGAAATGATATAGTAACCCAAATTACTCCAAAGGCAGGGAAATAATAATAAATGTTTAGATGCCCAAAAGGTAGTGTGTTTCGTAAGCGTACTTGAGAACTAGGCTAACCAAACACTTGAAGCAAGATATGCAATGGAAGATACCCTTCTTTTGTGTTGGCATGTTTATTGTGTTCCTGGAGTCTCAGAAATTCTTTTGAGGTATCTAGGGGTCTGTTAGGTAACAATAGTCTAGAGTGTGTATAGGTACAGACACCGGGGGATTCCACTCGTCTCAAATCGTGCACAGTACACAACCAGAATACAGGAAAGGTAGGATTTCAAGACGCATAACCAATACAATTTAATGAATTTCAAGGGTGTTGCCCAACCTCATACAGTCCTTCTGATTTGAAAATCACAGGTGTGTGGAAAAACGCACACCTGGATTTTTCTAGGCGTGTGATTTTTCAAGGCGAGTGATTTTTCTAGGCGTGTGAATTTTCTAGGTGTGTGATTCTATGGTCCAAGCTGGGACTGAACAATCTGGTATTTTTTTCATAATATTCATCTTGGTTTACAATAAAGCCGTTTTCTCTTCATTGACATACTTTATTTTTCACAAATTATGAAGTATAATTATGCCGTAAATGTATGCTGAGGTGTGCGGTACTGAGGGATTCAGGCGTGCGATTATTCACACTTCTCAGGAAGCATAGGCGTGTGATGGCATGGGGGTGCGATCGCAGGCTTCAAAACAGAAGGACTGCTCATACATACCAGGACAGGTATCCAGTCTATGTGCTCTCCTTTAAAAAAAACTGGCATCTAGAAAATGAATCCTTCCATCAAACAATGCACATTGACCAATTGGTCAGGTGAAAACTATAGCTTGCCGAATCTCTGATCAACAGCACTCATAGAAATGTACAAAAACTGAAGGTGGGCATGCGCAGGGCTTGTGGCCGGGGCTTGTAGGCTGGGCTTGTGGGCAGGGCTTGTGGGTGGGGCTTGTGGGCAGGGCTTATGGGCGGGGCTTACGGGTGGGGCTTGTGGGTGGGGCTTGTGGGCGGGGCTTGTGGGCGGGGCTTATATCCAAATCCACAACGGTTGATTGTTGCAAGCAAATCTGCTAACCGTTACTCTCAGCAGCCGTGTACAACCTGTCTAAGGACCCTTAAAGGGGCAGTCTCATCAATATACTGCAGGGAGCTGGGCAATGGACGAACAGCAGAGGGCGCTTTTTAAACATTTTCTAAAGCTCCGGTGGAAGCAAACTGCTTGCGTGCACCGGTTCGCGTGCCTATGCTGCAAAGCACATACGTCTAATATAATTCCGAGTGTGCACAAAGCAGTTGTATCTCCGTGTGAGCATTAGGTGCTGCACCGACGGTAATGTGTTATCAAATGTCTGTTCAAGTGGTCTCTCCCAACTCTCTCCTGTTAGCCATTGAGGGGGTACTTGCGCACAGAGTCAATAGGTCTTTGTTTCCTGACTTTCCTCACGACCTAAGCAGAAGGTAGCAGTTCAGAAGTAATTTGGTCCAACGTCCATTTTCGCAAATTACAATCTCCCCAAGCTTGAAAACCATCAACTAGTTCCAGCAGTGTGAAGGGAACTTGTCTGTCTTCAGAGAACTCTGACTGGAGTAGTTTAACCTTTGACCTTTAGGTAGGCGGCAACTCGGGAGGATATCAAATCTTTTCCATGCTCACAAGTCTGAAACAAAACAGTTAAGGAACAAAAACGACAGTCCAAGTTCTTGCAAACACGAATAGCCTTTTGATTAGTTGGTACACTTAGCCCTTAAGGGATATGGACACAATACGAGGGTATTTTTTGGTTTGTTACCCTCTTTATCTGGCTGACAAATTCACTGACTGTTTTTAACAGTTGAGTGCTCCCCGCCTTCATAAAGCAGGGTTGACTGGCTGTGACTGTTATGAAACGTGATACAGCTATGCTTTGACTGTAGGAGATTGCCAAGCCAGCTGTAAATGTAACTACCAGTCACCTGCTTTTGTCTGTTGATGGAATTTGACTAGACATAGTGTTTACAAGAAATATGATCCAACTGTTGGTGACTAGCCTGTGTATACATTGTGGGAGGGGATTGAATTTCTGACTGTCTGTGACTGATCAAACAGTAGGAGGGTTAATTACATTACAATCAGCTTGCCAATGGTCGTCTTGCAGCTGGAAGAAAATATGGATCCTACATATAACCACACGAGGACACTCTTGAAATGACTCAAGAAGTCCATGAAAGGATACGGTCTGAGCTGTTCTGCAAAGGCTCTCATGTCTTCACCGATTCCGTCTGTCCCTGAGGGCGCTATTATACTGAGCTCGACAAGCTGAGATATGGAGAGGGGTTCTAGAGCCTCCAAATTGCCTGGCGTTAAGATCTGATCAGACAAAGCGGAAAAGACAAGTTTCTTGGATGAGTTTAAATACACATCACTGTCACTGCTTTTGTGTCATTGTTTTTTCTTTGTATTGGTGTGTTCACCAGTTTCACATGCAAGTCAGGTTGGTAGTGCAGGCCTACACCGCGTTATGGGGAAGTTGTTTATTGTTAGGCAACTTAGGACCGAGTTATGGGGCTTTCTGCTGTCCCCACAGTGTTTTCGGTCCCCACAAATACCTCGTACAGACGAGTGTATGACCCCACAACTACAGAACAAGTATGATTGTACAGGCATTGCAGTCACTCTGTGGACCAAAAGAGGTCCACACAATGCAGGAGATTCAGACATTGTGTGGATTTGCACAGGTCCACAGTGTTTTTCACTTTCTGAAAACTGTGTTAGAAGCATTTTGGGGTTAGGGTTAGCAAATGAAGAATATTCAAGGAAATCACAGTCAAAATATCAGTTTCAAAAGTGTTGACACTTGACAGTGCAAATGGCAACATTTTGAAACAAGTTTTTTGAAACAAGAACAAAGCAATGTCCACACAGGGTATATAAAACAAGTCTGCGTGTGCATTCATCAGTTGATCAGTTATTTGATCGAAGCAGTTAATCCCCCAAGTTCATTAAAAAAGATCTTCAATAGCATACAAGTTTGAGTATAAACTTTGACTCTTTTGTTGTAGTGTTGTATGTTTGATGAGGCCAAAAAAAAAATCTGCTTCCAATTACAAGGCATTTTTAGGGATTTTTTTTTTTGGGGGGGGGCATTATTTTGTGTTGATCATACATGTATGTAGGTGTCTGCGTGAAGTCAAGGGTAAAAGGTAGTAATTGATGGTGTTTGGGGTTTTTTCGCCTCATTTTTACAACAAAAAAAATTAGGGTAGGGGCTGTCATAATAGGGCAAGTAGGGTAAACGGAAACAGAATTAAAAAAAAAAAATTGGCCCGAGTATGAGGTCAAGATTAAAATATGGTTTTATATTTGAATTAGTACCTTGAATATTTTGGTGATAGTCACTTTCATTTTGCCTTTCCTGAACATGTGACCTTTGGCAACAAATTCATGGTCCAACCTGCAAGTAAAATGAACGGAAAATAGTTTTAAAAAAACATTGTGTTTGTAATTGAATGACAACATAAAGAAAATATTAACATATATTAAAAGGACTAACAATTATTATGCTGAACATGAACCGCTGTAAGAAATAGTTGCAAAAAAACCCAAATACCCAGTAATTACCAACTTTTAGTCACAAGAGGGCGCCCTTTGCACTCACCTGAATCCAATATCTGTCAGGAATTGAGGCAGTTGTTCCGAGGTGGAACAATCCAGATAACTGCGGACTGTTACAAGTCTACTCTTATCACTGATATCCGATTGGCCAAGGTAGCGCAGCTGCCTGAAGAAAGAGGGCGCATTCAAATCAAAACAGAAGTTGTAGTAATTCCTTATGTGAAAGGGAAAATGAAAGGCGATATAGCTGATGGGAATTTGATACTGAAGTGAGAGAAGTGGGTGGGGAGGGGGGTTGATTTATAAGTTATTGGATCAGCTGAAGCCTTATATACATGACATCTCAAACTCTTGAAACAGGTAACATCTCTGTACCTAGTCCGAAAATTTGGGACTCTCAACACTGTGTATGAGAGTCCCAAAACTTATTTATTTATTTCTTGTTTATCCTGGGGAGACCTTTCAGTGGAACACTGTTTTTCAAAGGTGCCCAGCAGTTACAACAAACATACGATAGTATAAAAATAGAACAAGCAATAAAAATATTACAAAGATATAATTAAGAAGATTAATAAACAGTAAAATGAGACAAGGTTAATCACGGTTGTTGCATTGGCAGTAAAAAGACAAAAACAAGACATGTATGTACCATGTAATATTAAACTATCAGGTTCTTGTAGTGGCGCTTAAAAATTTAAGGTAGTGAAAACATGCAATACAAGAAAATAGACTGGCACATGAAACAACCAGTCCAACACCCCTTTAAGTACTGCATCAATTAAATGTGTCAATAGAAACATCTGGTACCTAGTCTCTTTTTCTACACATTATCGCCATAGTCATGCCACCAGACTACTGAATGGTCAATCTTTTCAAAAAGTTGGACACGTCCATGTCTAGTCTTAAATTTTAAAATCACTCTGCAGTCTCAGGTGCAAAATGTTGAGAAAAAAATCTCCCTTAAAAATTGAAGAAAATCTTCTTCAAAAAATAATTGAGACTTCAAACTTGGCTGGTGAAATACTGAGGACCTTGTCTTTGCCTCATGAAAATTTTGCTGGCAAGAGTGAGTTGCGTTGGCCTGCTTTCGTTTTGCATGTTTTTCAGCACTTAGGGTCGACGTCCGATACTTACCATGGCATGTTGTGTTGATCTCGTGCATGCCTTGCACGTAACACCACTGGATTTCCTGGCCCACCTGTTAAATAAAACCATTAAAAAGAAAAAAAGGTCTAAGGCAAAATGAAAAAAAAAACATGTTTAGCGTCCTGCCTCTTTGACAAAAAGGAAGGAGGAGGCCCTTTTTTTTTTTTTTTTTTCTTTTCAAAATGGCCGCCCGACACATTTTTCAAGACAACGCGGCCGGGCTATTTTTCAAGATGGTTACCAGCTTTTTTCAAAATGGCCGCCACTTGGACTCAGGAAATGACATATTGGCTTCTTATGGGCAAGATGCAACAGAAAATGAGACCAAAATGATGTAACTATGCAGAACCGAACATCTCTTCTGCGCAGAGATCGTTAAAAATTTATCAATTTTTGTCTTTTAAAAAAAAAAAAAAAAAAAAAAAAGGAGGCGGCCTCTAAAAAGGAAGCAGGCGGGGACGCTAAACATGTTTTTTTTTACTTCGCCTAATAAAACCAACAGTTTGGTGGATATCCATTTTCGAAAAATACAATTGTAGGGCCTACAGTACACCTCATTATACAAATGTTACCAAAAACACAAATTTTTGATATCTACAATCAAAGGAAATTTAACTCTATGAATAATTTCAACCTGTCTGTGACAACAGAAAATTGTAAGTGAGAGTTAAACATAGTGGTGCAAGAGTATTTTAAAACAAATTTGAACCTTTTCTCATTATAATCATGTCATTCTCATTCTTTAAAAGTTGGCATTGTATATTTAGCCTGCACCGGCTAAATTTAAGTAAACGATATTTTGCCAGCCAAGAACTGAACATGTGCAGTGACTTTTTGGGGACTTAGAAATTAAATTGTTACCTTCACAACTTAATTTAATCTGGTTCCGCACCAACATTGTCGTTGTGACTTCATGTTCACGAGATGGGAATCAGACCATTTTACAATGTCGGACTTTATTTCCCTTTAAAAAAAAATCCTCCAGAGCCACAAATCACAAACATGACAAAAAGAAAATGTAATGCTCTGTATTGTTGGAGTCTTGTCAAATTAAAATAAGAAAAAAAATAATATTCTCAATATTTTGGGATGAAACAAAATACCGTTTACTGAAAGAAGAGTCGGCTAAACTAGCGCACTAAATATAGGCCTACACTTCCTTAAACAATTTAAACAAATTTATAAGTGTGGTTTATCATTGTTTATTTTACTTCCCATCACTTACTCCTAGCACTATGAGGCTCCGCGTGAGCGGAGCCTCATAGATCAAGAAGCCCGCAAAATTGCCTGCAGCACAAAACACTAATAAAGTACAAAAACGTCCATCAAAATGCAGCCATTTCACACAGAACCGCTGCACAGTTTGCCCCTATACTCCGTACTTTATCTCTTGACATACTCACGTATCTTGTGCGGAACTAACATGGGTGGATTCTGTCGGTTTTTAGGCCAAAATGATGAAAAATATGCCCTTTCCGCACTGAGCCAACCTGACACTTGAAACGTGCACGCATATGATCGAGCGATGATTTTCGGTTCACTCGGAGCGCGCCGCGGGGGGTACGGTACAAGCGAAATGATAGTATGTGCATGCGTACAAGTGCATGTACCGTACCCCCCGCGGCGCGCTCCGAGCGAACCGAAAATCATCGCTCGATCATATGCGTGCACGTTTCAAGTGTCAGGTTGGCTCAGTGCGGAAAGGGCATATTTTTCATCATTTTGGCCTAAAAACCGACAGAATCCACCCATGTTAGTTCCGCACAAGATACGTGAGTATGTCAAGAGGTAAAGTACGGAGTATAGGGGCAAACTGTGCAGCGGTTCTGTGTGAAATGGCTGCATTTTGATGGACGTTTTTGTACTTTATTAGTGTTTTGTGCTGCAGGCGATTTTGCGGGCTTCTTGATCTATGAGGCTCCGCTCACGCGGAGCCTCATAGTTCTAGGAGTACCCATCACTGACATGACTGAGGTCATATATACTAGAAAAGTTTCAGAAGGATAGAGCTATAGAGCTAACTAAGTTGTTTTTTTTAATTTAGCTACATTATACAAGTCATAGGCCCCTACTTGTTCTGAGCAGATACACCATCTCATGATCTTGAAACGTCTCAGGCGCGCGGTCCACGTTATCGCACAGGGCTCTCAATCGGTGCAGCAAGGCGTCACAAGCCGAGTCAACCACGCTGCCTTGCAGGACAAATTCCTGCAAACTGGGCACACTGCTTGAAGCTAAATTACTCAAATTCACGCCTGGGAGTGACGAAGTCATTGTCCGTATCCGTTTGTGTGAATAGTGGAAGAACTATTAATGAAGATTTTGAAGATTTTGTTGTTACAAAGTCATCCGCTTTCACACGCACGATGTTTTTGTTTTGGGGGTGACCCTTGAACTTAGTTTTCAAAAGATCTAATATAAAATAACTAAAAATAATTAATCTTATTCACGTACTCAAAAATAAATCCCTTTATAAAACTTGATATTATTGTAGATTATTTATAAGTAATCATAAAAATGCGTTTTGTTTATAATTACTGTGTCTGTAACTCTTCACATAAATATAAATAAACGAACAAGCCTGTCATGGCAGCGCCCATCGATAAATTTGAAGTTTTTACATGGTATTTTCAGTGACCGTTTTCATTAAGTAAATCTTCGGGTTTAAATTAATGAGTTCCGTAGAAACACTTCCGATCCACTGTGGATTAGTTCTGATCACTGACATTCAAAATCTGTCCGTTCATATCTGTTAAATATCAAAAAGAAATTTTACCGTGTTTAGTGCTCGCGTGGTGCACTTTCGAATGCCTGTCCCGCCATGCCCGCGATGTATCAACGAAACGTCTGCCATAACTTGGCAAAATATCTTCGACGTGTCTTTCTAAAGAACGGAAAATCAAAATATGAGATGTTTGATCACCAGTCACCTTGGATCTTGTCAAGGAGAAGATATTGCCATGCCATACAATGGGTAAATACAATATAAATATACATGTATTATATGAGCCCCGTAAATGTGGCCAATTTACTGGACTAAGTACCTCCGTCATGTCTGTAAATATAGTACCATCGTCTAGTAAATGGGCCACATTGATGGGGTAACACGTATTAAGCCTATTTGCATTTTTACATACGTGTGCCGTGATTACTAAATTTATCAATGTTTTTCTTTTAATTTATATTTTGTTTCAATATATTTTTATTTCAAGGTGGCAAACTCTAGTGAAAAGGGCATCGTTTATTTTGTATCTTGTCATTTGTTTTCTTTTTACATTGCAAGGGAGTTGTATATGAATCAGTGTCCAGCGATGTCTTCACTAACTTGGCATTTGAAGATTGGTAAGCATAAAACTAAACAGTTGTCTGGCTTTTTAAAGTTAAAACTTCTTTGCTCATAACTAAAGAGGGGACTGTTTATGGGATAATTTTTGGAACAATTTCCCAGATTTTGTCATTTATCTGACCAATTTTTTGCTTAAATGGATATTTTAACAACTCATAATTGAATTCTTTTCAAACAGGGTTTATAACAACCTAGATTTAAGCACAACAAATCTACTACTGCTATGGCGAAATGATCCCTGCGTTGTGATTGGTCGTCACCAAAATCCGTGGGCCGAGTGTCAGCTCAGACAGCTCTGGGGTTCAAAGGTCAAATTAGCAAGAAGAAGGAGTGGAGGTGGTACTGTTTACCATGTAAGTGGTATTTTTTAACAATCAAACTTTGATTCCGAAACCATTTTCATCATGCATATTATCATACACAGCATTGAGAGCCCCACATTTTCGGGCTAATTCTCATAGAGATCGTTGTCTAATTTTCTTTCCTAGGATCTAGGCAATCTCAACTGCACTTTCTTCACTGACAGGAAGCGATATAACCGCAAAGAAAACCTGGAGCTGATAACCAACGCACTGAGGTCCACATGGCCAGGGTTGGACGTCACTGTGTCATGTCGGGATGATATTCTACTGGACAACTTTTTCAAAGTATCCTTTGTGATCGTAGTTCCCACCCTTGGAGGTGGCATTGTTCACAATGATGTGTAAGAGCTCAGTGTAATCACTGACGGTAGGAGGAAGGTTCATATGAGACCAGTGCAAATGTAATTGATTGCAGAAATTTAACCTTAAATGTCCAACCGAACCTTTAACCTTATTTTCAATTTGTGTTTTGCCATATTGAAGGGTATTTTGATGCTTTTCTGTTTTTTATGCTAATGATGTCCATATTCTGTGATGTCAAAACTGTGATGTCATTCCGGGCAGAAATTTCAATGTTATAGCTATTTCAGCACAAAAAAGTTGCAAGAATTTTGGATGTTTTGCTGTCATAAATGCTACTTTTTTTTAGTGATATATTGTTTTGTAAGTATGTGGCAGTAAGCCAATGAGCAACCCTTTTACAAATGTTTTCAATGAGCAAATTTTGGGTTCACAATTTGAACAGAAATCCCCTAAACTGAACTGTGTCTTCCCGAAATGACATCACAGCAACAGCGCCCTCAGTTGTCCGGAAAAGCATGGACAATCAGAAATGTTTTAAGAAGTGCACTTTCAATCAAATTAACCAAAAAAGGGATGTCAAATAGTTTTCATACATTTTAAGAGGAGTAGAAAGTTGCACAAAATGTGTTCCTAAGAAAAACTCATCGCACGAACACTTTAATCCAAACTTTGTTTCCGTATCAATGCAGTTGTTTGTTCGGGGAACTTATGCTCACAGAGACATGTTTACAGATCTTTAACTGTTTATAAGGTTTCAGGCTCATCAGCCAAGTTAGGACGTCAGATTGCATATCATCACTGCACGCTACTGCACAGTGTTAACACACCAGAACTAAAATCACTGCTACATAGTAAGAAGGTTAATAACTTTTTAGTCATTTTTTAAAAATCAATTTGCAGTTCTACAGCCAAAAAAAAAAAATGGTACAATCAGAAAAAAATTGGTTAAATACGAAATTTCAAAATAAGTCATTCTTACTTGGCATAATATAAGAGAACAAAGACTGGGCTTTCCAATATTGTTTGTTTGATCTTATTTGCTTTTGTCAATTCAGAGATATAATCAATTTAGTGCGATACACCAAAATCGATTTTGTGCCACTTTTATGCATGGGCAGAGTTGTTTCGAGTACTGTGCCATGCTGTCTTGAAGCTCTCAAAAGATTGCAACTTGGCAAAAGAAACAAACTCAATTTTTTTTGTTCCGCAGTAAACTGGAGTTATCTCTGGATTGACAAAAGCAAATGAGATGAAACAAAAAGTATTGGAAAGCCTGCTCTTTTTTCTTTAATGTGATGCTCAAAACGACTTACTTATGTTGAGATTTAATATTGAAAAAAAAATCGTTTTCGATTGTACCATTTTTTTGGAGACAGGCTGTATATTCACTAAATATTGGAATTTATTAAAAATATCTTTGGCCATGGGTTTGCAAATAAAGTTGTTGCTTAAAGGTTGAAATAGGTGTTTGGGGGCAGTTTTGTTTCAAGTTGGATAGAGAAAGTGATGATGACTCTATATTATTCGAGACGTCTTCCTTAGAGAGAATTAAAAACTGGTATGTCATATTCTGTGCCATCTATTGTGATTATCATGTGGACTCACAAAAAACCTCACCAAACAACTCAAACCCTCCAGATAGGTGTTGGAAGTTTTAGATGACGTCATGTTCGTTTGAATTGAAGTTACTCTTTCCGATGTTACTCCATCTATTCATTGGGGTGCTGTGGTCCAATGGTTATGGTGTTCGACTCGTGTGCTGTGGTACATGGGTTCGAATCCTGACAGTGGGAACATGGTGCTTGTGCTCTTGAGCAAGGCACTTTACCATTATTGCTTCGTCCTTCGGATGGGACGTAAAGCCGTAGGTCCCGTGTGTTGTGTAATGCACGTTAAAGAACCCAGTAACACTTATCGCTAAGAGGTGTTTCTGGCAGTGGCTGCAATATGCGCCTTAGCACCTTGTACACCCCTTATAAGGTGCTACATAATGGGTCTCATATCTCTCATAAACTTGATTTACCTTTCTTTAATAATAGACATATCTCCAGCGCCTTGAGTACCTAATAGTTGGTAGATACGTGCGCTATATAAGACTCCATTTATTATTAATATTATTATTCATATGCTCACTCAGGAATGGTTTCTCACCAAGGGTAAACGATGATTTCATTTCAATTTCCTATTTCTTGTAACTTCCAGGAGGGACTGACTAACAGAGCCACTAAGAGTGTCGAGTCTGCGGTCAAAAACTTGTCGGATGTAGAACCAAGCATAAGACACTCGTCCCTGGTTGATGTCATAGCTGAGCAATTCTACTCACAGTATCAGCCATTATATAAAAACAAGGTGCGTATAACAAACATCATCGATAAACCTTTCATATTCTTTATTGGAACTAAAATTGGAAACCATATCAAAAGGAAAAAATTGTACAAAATAAAGCATTATAATATATTACAATTTTTCATTGCATATTGTACATACAAATTATGATTAAATAAAACTTTCAAAGCTCTTGAAGCATATATATCTTTATGGATTTTTAGCAGTGATGCATTTTGTTTCAATTAAATAAAAAAGACTTTTCTTCTTGATTTTCCAGGTGTACCCAATGGATCCATCATCTGAAGTAGACTGGCCAGGAGTCCTTTCAAGTAGAGAGGAACTTGGAGTAAGTCCTCTTTCTAGCCCGTTTGCATAACTACAGACAAAAACTGAAAGTCAGAAGCATGTTTCTTCCATACAAATAAAGGATCAAAATGTTCAGCATGGGTTGTCTCAAATTAAATGAAAATTACTTGAACTTTTTTTCATACAGATTACAAAAAATTGATTTTCTATTATTTTGAAAAGCTTTCCTGTCCATTCAATATTAGGTGTTAAATCTGTTCTTGATTTTTTTCCCCAAACAAAAATCTTTTAAGTTATGGCTTTTTCATGTTCCTTAATTTAAAATATTCCCTAAAAATGCCACTTGATGTCAATGCTTGATTTGTTATGTGCGATGTTGAAAGATAAACCTGATCATGATTTAACTTGTTTAAAGGGAATATACAACGTTTGCAAACATCGAAAAACAAAACTACCAAATTGTTACGAAGTACCTTACTAGGCTGATGGTAAATGACTGTCTAAAGCATCCTGTAAATTTATGGTACCAGGTGTGAGGTCATTTTCAAGAAACGTGGTATTTTTTCATGAATTTCCAACGGTGGTCGGCCGACCACTGTTGGAAAAACCTAACTATTTTTCAACTACTGCTCCAAGTTTACAATTTTTTCAGTCCAAGTTTTGTTTGCTATTGGTTACATGCTCATGAACGGGTGCAGGCCAGCTAGACTGGTTCCCTTTCTTTACAATTTTCCGGCATCTATAAATTGATCCATTTCATCTTTAGTGGAGTCAGGGAACTAGACTACTTGAACATTTTTGTCTTTCTTGGTTTTTCCAGCATTTTCGAAAATAAAACTTCAAACATGTCGGTGTAACAATATTTGATCTGTTATACTAACCCCTCAAATACGGTTTATTTCTGAAAATTACAGCAAAAGCCAATGATGTACATTCCCTTTAAGACCATGATGGAAAATTTGTTTTTAATTTTCCTGCAGAGTTGGAACTGGGTGTACGGGAAGACGCCGCAATTCAGTGTGCAGAGATCTCACACTGATGTGTCAGTGTTGGTCCATGTTCACCACGCCCGTATACTGGGTGTGGTCATACAAGCGTTGGATGGATGGATTGATACAGGGCTCATACAGGAACTCACAGGACACCTGGCAGGTAATACATTACATGCTGATCCATCTGAACCACGCCCATATAAACCACTCCCATATAAACCACGCCCATATACTGGGAGTGGTCATACAAGCGTTGGATGGGTGGATTGATACAGGGCTCATACAGGAACTCACAGGACACCTAGCAGGTAATACATTACATGCTGATCCATCTGAACCACGCCCATATAAACCACACCCATATAAACCACGCCCGTATACTGGGTGTGGTCATACAAGCATTAGATGAATGGATTGATACAGGTCTTATTCAGGAATTGATCAGAAATGTAGCAGCTAATACATGAATGCAGTTCCACGCTTGTATATACCACACCCACAGACTGGGAGTGGCTTGTCACTCATGCAGCTAAACCCCGCCTTCTCTTGGCTGCATTGATTCCCAAATGTAGTCAGTTTATTGCAGCACTGTAATGCAGGTGTCATCCACACACCTCTATAATTAGGCAAACAGTGCCCTCTATGTCATGCACATAGCCATTAGGTAGATTTCAGTCAGTGCTTAAAGGGAAGATACAACATTTGCAAACATCAAAGAAGGAATGATCAAATTATCACGTAATACCTTACTGAATTGTTAGGAAATGACATCCTTTAAAACCGTGGCTCCTGGCGTGCTGTCATTTTCAAGAAAAACTGGCTTTTTTCAAAAACTGTTCCTACTTTTTCATATTTAGTTATTCTGACTTTTCTTTGCAATTGATTACACAGGGGTTCAAGCTTGCTAGACTGATTCTCTGACCTTACAGTTTCCAAAAGTGTATTAATTGCTCCATTTCATCTTAAGTGGGGTCAGGGAACCAGACTACAAGAATATGATAGGTTTTCTTGGTTTTTCCAGCATCTACAAGCCCAAAACGTGAATTAAGTCAGTTTAACAATATTTTCTAAAACATACTAATCCTCCAAATCCATTTATTTCTGAAAATTGCAGCAAAACCAAATGTTGTACATTCCCTTTAAATGATGTTTAATGAAGGACCATTCCGTTTTTCTTCGTACTGATGCAGGAACAAAATTCTGGCCAAAAGATGTCGCTGAAATCACAGAGGCTTTCCTTGGAGCAGTCATTGTTGACGCCGATACGAGACAAAAACTTCATCTCGTCTGCAAGCTTTTACAAGAAACACTCTCTTGAGCTGTAATCAACATCTTACTCCATGAAAATAAAGATTTGTGATTTCCCAAACCAAAAAAGTGAATTTCTTGACTGGTTTCTGTACAACTGAGTCTGTTGGTAAAATTCAATGTTCCCACTTCTCGATTCAAAAATAACAGTAAAAATAAGCACAAAATACTGATTTTAAAACTGAACAAATTTTAACAGCCATCTTAGTCGGTGCCTCTTTAAAAAATCATTTCAGTGTACACTGTGCATTGTGAAATATTGCAACACTATTGATTTTTTAGGGTTGCTTTTTCTTCATCCTTTCTTTTCATAAATTGACAGCCTGTTTTTCTCTAAATCGGTACTGTAACTCTCAAAGTTACACTCAATCTTCAGAATTTTCGCAGTCAAAATGAACTCGACTACAATCTACTAGGTTGGGTAACTCAAGTAAAGTCTGTTACGAGCCAATGTGGCCCATCAGGCCGGCGTTTATCTCCCGTTTCATAGCATGAAACGACGGAGAATATTTTCTATTCCCCCTGGATGGGATGCTAGTCCATCGCAGGTTACTCCCCAGCTAATGCCGGTACCCATTTATACTCCTGGGTGGAGAGAGGCAAGTGGAGGTGAAGTGGCTTGCCCAAGGACACAACATATGGCCAGCGGCTGGATTTGAACCCCTGACCAACTGTCCATGAGTCACAAACCCTAAGGCCAAAAAAACAAAATATTCGGTCTCTGGTCAGACCAAAGTTCCGAAATTGACGCGGCGACGCGGCTTTTTTTTTCTTTTCTTCAAGCTTGGATTGTACAGACAAGGTGGATACTATTTTGCTTTTTTGGTGTCCTCATGTACATTGGTGTCCTCCATAATTTGCCTTGGTGCTCTCGATCATTTTGTCTTGGTGCAATTTCCCATTCCTTGGTGCTCTTTGGTAAAAAAAAATTGAGGAGGTGCGGCAATAGAGGGCGCTGTTGGAGCTACCGCGGAACATTTTGGAAAAAAAAAAAGATTGACGCGCGCGCGCGCGCTGACCAGAGACCGACTTATTTTTTTTTTGGCCTAACCACTAGGCCACATTCTTCACGAATATTGCTCACGCTCCAATCTAAGTACAATTGTAACGCAACCTAGGAAAATATATTTGACTTCAAGTTCAACCCTATTGTGCTGAAAATTTGGATGACTGAGCTAAAAGTGAATTTCTTTTCTTGGTCTTAATCTGAATCTAGCCAGAGCCTCAAGCATAATTTACATCATCCAACCCTACATCTTTGGATTTCTTATCTGCTCTCTTGGCTAACACCTTGTCTAGCCGCTTCACAAACAAATCCACATCCTCTTTAGTAATCCCAATGGCTGCGGCTGCTGTCAGGTAGCCGGTAGTGTACTCATTGCAGTGTGAGCCGTAGCCAGTGAAGTCATAGCCACCAATGGTCTTGGTGACACCCTTGGGCACAACCCTATGAAGCAAAGAGAAAGAAAAACATCACAGTGAACACCATGTCAACACCATGTTAATACTAGGTCAACACCATGTCAACACCATATCAACACCATATCAACACCATGTCAACACCATATCAACACCATATCAACACCATGTCAACACCATGCCAACACCATATCAACAATGTGTAAACACCAGGTCAACACCATATCAACACCATGTCAACACCATGTTAATACTAGGTCAACACCATGTCAACACCATGCCAACAACATATCAACAATGTGTAAACACCACGTCAACTTTCTTATTTTTTTGCGACCCAAGGAGGGATGTTAACCCCAATAAACCTCCCCCTCACCCTTCCCCATAGATCAGCTATTGATTATAACTTGCCTTGCTCCCGACACGTTTCTCTTGAAGAGCATGGATCCCACCTCTGACACTGCCTTCCCATCATCCTCTGCGTGTTGACCTAAGGTCATCGCCATGGAGATAGGGTTATGGGGCATGCCCAGCAACCTCTCCCCATGGGCTTCTGCAATGTTCTTCAGTTCCTCCTGAAGATAAACATACATCTCCTTTCGCTCCTTGAGAAGTTTCTTGTAACCGTTCGCTCCAAGGGAAAGAAACGTGATGAAGAGGTCAATAGAGGGCGACGCAGATGCGCGACCTGGAAAAGTCTGTGCGATTTTATCCACAAATCTCTCATCTGTTCCAGCAATGATTGATCCCCCAACAGGAACAAGGAAGTTTTTGTCGGTACTTTGGACGAAGGCGTCCACCCTTCCCACTCTGGATGCTTGCTGAATCAGATGCATACATTTTGAAGACTGCACGCCATATGCATTATTCACAACGTGCCCCACACCAGTGTCTTTGCACAATTTGGCAATTTCCTCAAGACGATCAGGTACCCTCGGAGCAAAGCAAGACGTCGTCGAGAACACACACAGGACGTTCTCCGCACCAAGTTCCTGAATTTTTCGTTCAATCTCCTCAACGTCTGTCCTCAGTTCATCCCCTTCCAGACGATTCTCAATGATGATTGGCTGAAATCCAGCGGTCAGTATAGACTTGAAACAAGTCTTCTGGTCAATACGAGGCCAGATAATGTACTTGGCGGTGGGTCGGAGTTGACGCAGGGCAAGGAAACAAAGAACAAGGCTCATTCCGGTGGCTAGAGGGACAACAAAACAGGCTGCGGTGGAACGAACACCTGATGAAACAATCATATGCCAAATCAACCACCTGTACAAGAATCTCAAAACTGAATTTAAAGTTGAACAAAGAAATTGAGTGGAGCAGGGTTTGAACCTGCAACCTCCGGACTGCCATTCCAGCACTCTACCAACTGAGCTATCCAACTCGATTTGCCAATGTCCTTTGTTCAAGGGGCACTAGTCAGACACCTTTGAGGTTTATTTGAAAATATCTCAAAACTTTATTTAATCCCAGCAAGGCCAACAAAAGTTGCGTTTGTTTTAAGGACCGATCTGCTTCTGTTTGTTTGCCCTCAAGAAATTGTCAACATTGCTGTCCGAAGAAGTTATCCATTGTCTTCATTTGAAGGGCTGTTACGAGTGCTGTAGTACCTCAAAGCACTTTTGAATAGTTAATTCAAGAAATAGCTTTGGCAATAAAATGGAGCTATAGTGATAATGATGCTCATAACTATTTAGTGGAGTGGTGTAATAGATGTTGCATATTACGGACATAAAAGCAAGCGAATCTCTCAAGGAATATCACAAAACAAGGATTATAGTGACCAAACAAACCCCAGAATAACATCAAGTGTTACCTGTCATTCTGAGAGCGTCTAGTGCCATGGTGTTAGTCAGTTTCATCAGGATGCTAGAGCCAGCAGCCTTGGGTTGTATAGCAGCGATGTCCCCTGACCGACCAATCCCATGACCAAGTCTGAAACATGAGAACAATGTATTCAATACTACTCTCTGTGATTATAGGCAAACTTAACTCATCAGAGTAATACTTTCAAAATGCTTACATTGAACACTTCAGATCCGGAAAAAGGACTGTTGGTCACAGCTTAAACAGTGACTCAAAAGCTCATAAGCTGACAAATGCAATTGCAATAAAGTAGCTTGCTTGTGGACATCAGCCCCCTGAATAAAACAGTTGCATACTCCACACAGTTGGCTTTCAGATCCTACATGTATGTACTTTGATAGAACACAGATATCTAATATTTCAAGCACGCAAGCTGTTAACTTAAAGTCTAATGCTATGCGAACAGTGGAGTAAACACATAACATCAGTACCTGATAAATTTGCAAAGCACGCACACATTTCACATCAAGTTTTAATGGAGTAAGAAAAATTGGAGTAAGAAAAATTCAAGACTTCGATTTTTTTTTCATCAGCAACAACAGAAAGCTCATTCTTCACTTCTCCCATCCTCCCCCAACAAATCTCAGCCCCGCCCACCTGTAGTGTCTCCTAGCAACCAGTGACGATGCAATCCTCGCCTCCCGCTCCCCGACCCCACAGTTGGCGGTGAAGTTATTGCTGTCCATCACACTCAGCTCCTGTAGGAGAAGCTCAATGGTTGCATCATCCCAGCCTTCCTCCGGCCACTTCCGATGCTCAAGAAGGTTGCGAATCTAAAAATGAAAACAGCGCCCTCTATAGTTTGAAATGTCTTCAGGTGGATACCGATTTACAAGGACTGTGCAGTACTGGGCAGATTAACCATCCTAGTCTTTATTGTAAGATGGAATTTTGCGTCGGGTGATATAAATCAAATCAGGTTTTTGCCCTTCACCGATGTTTAAACACTGTATACTCAGTGTGTTACCTCCCGAGTGAAAGATGGAAAAGATCACTCGGGTGGGACTCGAACCCACGACCTCCTGCTTTCTAGTGCAGATGTCTTACCACTCGACCACCGAGCTAACGGGATCGGTTGGCTGGTTTGATTCTGATGTAGTCTTCTGCATCTTCACAACCGTTCAAGTTTTGCAAAACCACTTTTGCCCATAGAGTTAGCACCAACACTCCAAATTCCTTTGAGGTAATCTTCTGTGGACTATGGATAACATTTCAAATCCCTGCACCATTCTTTAGTGTGGTTCAGCTCAGGGCAAGCAGGCAGATTCAGTCACGCTTCACTGCTCTCCGCAGTGCAGTGCTATTTTTTTTGTAGGCAGTGACTCCCTGTATGCCACAGTTATACTTAAACACTTCTTATCTCTTCACCTAAAACTTACCTGCAGGTTTTTTTTAAGGGTTTTTACTTTTAGGCCTACATATTGCTCTGAATATTGGCTTCCCACTAGGGGAGGTGTACATGTACCTTGTTTTCATGGGCTCGTCTAGCTTCACGTCCCTGCTGGACGTACGTAGCTGGGATCAGTCTCTCACACAGCGCATGGATGTCTGGATTCATGCTGGCAAATAATCCCTTTTCTTAAAACCTGTACCTGCAAAAAAAAGATGAACGGATCAATAGATGTCATAACTCACTCACCCCCCCCCCCCTTCCCTTCCATCCCTAGACTAGTACGGGGATTGGGGGGTCTAAACCATAGAGGTAAGCCCTGCCCCCCCCCCCCCCCCCCCACACACACACACACGCACACACCTACTTGTTTCACATGACTAGTGTGGACTTTCCATTGCTTTCGTGTAGTTAAGAAAAACCAGTGAAAAAACTCATTTTTCTCAAACTGTGAAAACTCTTTCAACCCAATTTTTTTTCTATGATTCCCTTTAGTGTTTCTCTTCATTCTGCTACAAATAAACCTAACCCAAAAATGCCTCTAAACTAGCTGGAGTTA